TTGTGGCTTATCGAAGAACTTGTGGACATTGGACTGCCACAGCCTGGTCCCTCGAGTAGCCATGGATCGAAGGCGTCTATCGGAGCGCTCAATGATCGCGTTGTTGATGTTTCGCGAGCAAGGTGGTGGAAAGACATCCGTTCATCGTACGACCCGTTACCATGCTTCATGGGGATAGGCTCATGCGAATCACATCGGGAGAGATCCTGTGATCCAGGATAGTCCACCACGTATTGGTAAGGGCTCGAAGTGAAGGACTGGACACGTCGTTGCTCCATTATGGCGAGGTAAGACTAACGCTCAGTCAGTCATGCTTACAAGTGTCGAGTATATAGACATACTGTGTAGGTAGAATATAAATATGCAATAAACAATGTGAGAGTCGTATAGAGACAAAAGTATGGCAGAGTGCTTGGTGGATGTGAGACCTGAGGTTGATTGTTACACTGGCAGGACCGCGCCAATATAATATAGATCAGATGCAATAGCGAGCGCTCAACCATGCCACAGGCTCCGAGGAGTGGTTCATAGGGTTCAGCAGAGAAAGGAATGCTAACGATCGGTGAAAACAACGACCCAGTAGGTTGGTACCTGAGCGACTTGGCGTACTCGATGCCAGCATGCCGCTGCGTGCGTGCACAGCCTGACCGCGAACGAACAACGGCTTAGTGTACGGCGTAGTTCGAGTACTTGAGTCTTGAACGCTTCAGGCTTTGTTAGACGACCGAAGTTTTGCAGGCATGTATCCTGGTCGCAAAGTGCCTCATATTTTCCTTGATAGCTGCTCTTCATCGAATCCCAGTACCCTGATTAAGGCCCCATCCGACAGACGCACGCTTCTAAGATGGTGGTTGGTAGGCACCCTACCAAATGTGTACAGCAAGCAGCAGGGGCTAAGCTTTCAGTTGGCCACGAAGATCCATCTGATCAGGGTCTCGATGTGGGTGTGGTGCGCTCGCCTGGTGGCTTTTGCTCAACCGTTATTTAGCGTGGGGCAGCCTCAGATACGTGCTTTGACGTGTGGCAAAGATGGTTCGAGCGCCCAGAGTGCGGATGTTGTATACAGCTAACCGTGGTGAGTCCTTAGGAATGCAGAAGATGCACGCCTGTGACGAAGATAGAAGTGTTGGGTTTGACAGCTGGTTACTGGTTGCTGCTGCAGGGACCTACCGTCGCTTACCAATTGGGGTAGACGAACCTGGGCTTCCTGCATTGAAGGCCGTGCTCAACCCAAGCTCTTTGATGCTGCGGCGAACTTGTTTCAAAGGCGTATGCTACAGCCACACATACTATTTGCAACTCCACCTATTCTAGATGATGTTAGAAACCAATGCTCACCACGATAACTGGCGTCAGTGGTCAACGTGGGAGTGTCTGGTCCTCTACATCTCTCAAGCTGGTTGGTTTCTCACCAATGCGCCGTACTATGATTAAACCCTGGTTGTGACCTGAATTATGTTCAATCCCAAAAGGTGTGGAGATGTAATTGTCTGTACTGAATCGAGCAGTAGCCTCTGTGCCATAAGCGCTCTTGCTAGAATGTTTGACCCGTTCGAGTTGGAAACCTGTAGAGTCAACGCGAATGATCCTATATTTTGGATCGTTATGAGCTACAACCTGGCAGTCCCATGAGACGCAGTTTGTGAGATACATGTCTCCACCGTAGTTCTGACCTGAAAGGAATCACTGCAATCTTGCATAAGGTGACGATGCGATACGAGTTGCAATGCGGCACAGTTTGGGGGCTCCATCATCGTAGCGGAGATCGTTTCGAGTCAGCAGCCGATCGACACTTTACAACCCCAGCTTGATCTCATCTTCAGTCGTGGAAGCCCAACTGAGCGGCGTATTGGCCGCCTTTTCCTTGGGCTACGACAGGGAGTCGAGGTTATCGACGTACGATGTGTGCGAAATGAACCAGCCAGGTTCAGCTAGATTGTGTACATGGATCCCACAACTTGTCAACTTGTGGCCTAGAGTTTGAGTAGCGGACCAAACTACAAAGACTGCAAAAGCGGGAGCAGTGGGTCTTTGGGCTTGGATGGCATCCGGCCCCAAGTGTCGTATCGAAGGACCCAGTACCAAGATGGTAATTTCGAGCGAATGCAAAGAATTGGTCTGAGCAGCCGCGGGGGAAGCGCGTGCCGCAGGTAGACTAAGGTCAGCTCACTGAATCGTCAGCCGAAAGCCTCTACCCTTTGACGTGACGGTGAGTCGACCAGCTTGAGTGGTCGATTATTCGAGACGATCATGCGTCCTCCGCCACTCACAAGTGTTTGATCTGACGGCATTCAACAGGAGCGCGGCTCGTGTATTGACACTCGCGAGAGGCGGTAGCTTCATTACTGGCCAGTCGACGCCACGCATGAACCGGCCCATCACGTGTGTGGGCTGCTCTAAATTTGTTGCGAGCGTTTGACTGCGCTCTCCACCTTCCGCTTTCAGCAAGAACGATAAGACGATATCTCCGTTGACGCTAACGGGAATTATTCGAGGGGAATGCATCGACAGAAGGATTCCGCTGTGGTAGGGCCATGTTGAGCCATCCCCTGCGAGGCGTGATGAATTTGTGCGCTTGAGAGGCTCCTCCCACACGAATTAAGCCTAGATGTTAATCGACGACATGACAGGTTGTTGTCAGGGCTGGTTGTCCATCGAATAGGCGATGAGCAGTAGCAGCGAGATGAACTTGTTAAGGAGTGACTTTCCTTGGTCGATCGAGCAGTAGCTGAGCACGGGAAACTAGCAGTGTATCGGTACCAGCGAGAAATGACGCGTGGTGCTGTGATATCGGAGGGGTACAGAGTCCTTTCGCAATAACTCCGTGCTCTAGCGTGTATACACCTGCGCATCTGAGAAGATTCCCAAGTATTCGGATGTGCCGTATGACTACATGGATGACCTGTCAGCATCTGATCATGACTCGTCTTGAAGGAACAAGGCAAAGCGAAGTTTTGTAGGCTGGCCCCCAGCCGTCAGACGCGACCGAAGCCACGAGCTCCTTACCCCCGCATTGATACCAGTGCGGAATGCTAAAGAGTGCACTGTCTGTTACCGCATCCCCGACAAGACAGTTTTATCCCCGCTGCACATCATCGCGTGATAGTCCAGGATTGGTTGGTGATGTGACGTGATGGTCAGAGCTGCATACGCGCGCTTAATTGAAGGATCGCGACTTCGTGACGAATTTGAGGCCGAAATCTCGCTTCGCTGCAGCGAACCTGAGTTGGTTGAAATCGATCTCAGTAGGAGCTGTTACTGCTAATTGATCCAGATGGGGTAGATGGAGCGATTGGCGACGTGATCGCGATGATGGGGAAGACGGAGGCTCCGAGTGAGATTAGCGGAAGGCTGGGGTACGGTACCAGATGGCCTAACAACGCCAAGCATACTAGCCTCAAACGGAAAGAACCTCTTCGCACGCAACAATCCATGGATCTGGCTGTGCGCACCACCGGAGCTGTTCCCACCGGCTGATCTTTCTGTTCGCATTCCGTCACGCGGCATGCGCGTTTCCAAGCCAGATTTTGACTTGACACTCTAAGCGCAGCCTATAGGGGTCTGTTAGTGCTACATATCATGGCTGATGTACCAGACTGCAGAACTCCGTCACGATAGAGTGCTCTCGAATATCGAGTCGTCCATGCCGTGGTCGGGAAGATGTGATGCCATTAAAGAGAAGTCTAGTGTCTCGCACGAGGTGCTGAATGATGATGTGGGTGGCTCAGCATATCTCGATCGAGCTGAGCAACGTGATCAACGTTCCCCTTTACTGTTCGCACATGCACTCCTTGACTCGATTCGCATGGAACAATTGTCTTCGACTCATGGACGATTGCAGCACTCTAGCAACTTGCATCAATCAGCTCGGTTTGTGCCTCAAGCGCATGCCCAGATTGGTACCGGCCTTGGAACTGAGCGATTTACTGCGGGAACCTCAGGATTAGTGAGCCCTTCAGTCGAAGGTCTTTTTTTCTTTTTCTTTTTCGGAGGGCTAAGCTTTCGGTCTTACGAGTATGCTGCTATTGTGTTTTCATACTCGAAGGTCATGGATTTGTAATCACCACCGGGTGTTTCTTGAGTTGGTTTGGAGTTATCAGCTTGGTCATTGAACTCGGCAATACTGGCGCGATCGACGTCAGCATTATCGAGGAAAATCATACCTAGGTATTCCTGGAGTACACATCTGTTTGCGATGCCTTTCATCTCTTCTCCATTCAGACCTCTTGAACGCTCCTTCCTACCTTCCACATGTACAAAAACGTTCTGCGCACGACGCTGATATCGCTCATTCCTACTCAAGAAGATGCCCATTCCAGACCTGCCGAGGTTCTCAGCAGTTGTTGAAAAAGCAATACTCTCCTGGATCCCCCACAAGCTGAACATTATCTACACGTTCTAGTCCCGACTCCTACCCAAGATTCCAGCGCAAAGACCACGAGACGACGTTACATCAAGGGCGCAACAAAGCCAGTTAGGTACGTGCCCACCTGGGGGCACGTACTACCTCAAAACATGACTTCGTTACGAACTCGAACCCAACAACGCCGCGCACACGATGCCCGTCCGTACCGTCCGTCGCGTCGCATCGCCTATAGCCGCCTTCCGCTCCGCTCCACCGTTCACTCGCAGATCGCGACGCCCAGCGAACCTTTGTACGAGGGGGTAGTGCCGAGAGAAGGGCCGATGAAGACACACGAGGAGCGCGACTGTTGGAGAAGGGCAGATGGCTTGGCGAAGACCAGCGCGGTTTTGTTGTTTGCTGCGACGAGTTTGTGTGATGACGGTTCAGAGGCATGTGGTTTCGTCAGGGCTGTTGAGACTACTGGCGTGAGGCTCATACACTTTGCCCAAGAAGACTGCTGCCTTTACATAGCACAGAGATATCGCCTCGAAGCACAAGGACAAATCCACACATAACAAGAGACGAAGCACTATGTCCATGAAGTTGATCTAATCTCATTGACTCTAGGTAAAAATGTGTAGGCGCCTCTACAATCTCACCGCGCCCCAGCCCCCATCCCAACGCCGTTCCGCCTAGCATGAATAACAGCACAAAGACACCGCCCTACAGCTTCCAAATCACCGAGAAGCGTGACGTGACCCCGGTCGCTGGAGACGACACCGCCCCGAACTACACTATACCCAGTAGGCACCATGGCCGCACGAGCGAGTACCACACCGTCGCCGCTCGCAAAGGCAAGCTCGTCATACACGTCTGCGCGTTTGATAGCTTCTTTGCTTTCTACCTTTGCGCCATATACCGTTGGTGTAGACTTGCCATAGATGAGTGCAATGGGCGGGTATGCGTTTGACGTTGTGTGTTCAGGGCGGTGGTCGAGTTCTTGTTTGAAGGCTTTGACTTCAGCGAGGGTTCGTGCGAGGTATTCCACGGCTTTGTCGTAAGGAATCGTGACATCGGTTGCTGGGTTCGGCTCTTTGGAGGTCTCGATGTTGTGTTCGTGGCCCATCTGTGGTCCCATGCCAGCTTGTTCGGCGCTTCCTTCTGTGACGTTGTTCGCGGCGTTACGAGCTACGTCGGCTGCGTCTTTCGCGGTGCTGCTTTTGCGAGTGGAGAAGGTTGGGAGTGATGAGGAGACGGCGTTCATCAGGCCACTAACGCTGAAGTTGCTGTCTTTGGGTTGTTCGGGGCGGGGCAGAGGTGCTGCTATGCATGGAGAGAGGCGGTGTTCTTTCCAGGTATTGACGTCGAAGAAGTCTACGGGATACTCTTCTTTCGTACGCTTGTTGATGAAGCACTTTCCATCGAGAGGCAGAAGAGCGTACGATGTTCGAATGCTAAAGTTTACTTGTGCTGTTAGCACGCGTGAGGAGAAGAGGACGTCGTCGCCGTTGCGGAATGGACCGAGGATATTCACGCAGCGTTGAGGCACACCGGCATATACAACACCGGCTACTAGATCAGGACGCTGGTTGATAGCATGACGCGTGATCAAGCCGCCTAATGAGTGTGCGACGATAACGGCGCCACGCTTTTCTGGAGGGACGCCTGGCTGGTTACAGGGCAGCGACTCTAAGAATTGTATCATCCGTCGACTGAGGAAGTGCGGAGAGAGCCGCCAGTCATAGCCGTAGTTGTGGACCCTGAGTTTACCATCCTTGACATTATCGCATGCATTCAGACGCTTGAACAGGCGCTTGGCTATATCGACGGGGCCGATATGGGTCAGCATGCCGCTGGGTATAATGCTCTCCTCCATGCGCTCATCCGCATCTGGGTCCAAAGGTACCTCCAAGTCTACCTTGCGTAGGTTCAACCCGACTTTTATGGGCACCCAGAGCTGTCGATGGGGCGGTTCTGCTGAGCGCAAGATGGAACCTCGGTAGCCTCCCAACACGACCAGGTCCCCTTCAAGCTCTTGCAAAGCTTGAGTAAAGTATGGATGCGGCTCAAAGTCGCTATCCCCACCCTTTGATGGCAGGCGCTTCTTCCTTATCGAGTCGCGACGTGCTGCCGATGCAGGCTCGGTTGCGCGAACATTGTCGGTTTCGCGGAGTCTAGACGCTATACTGGCATTGCGGGTTCTGAATATTTCGCTGCTGGACGATAGGTTGAAGTTTGGGAACGAAGGGCTTGGCAGCTTGAAATTGGAGTCTTGCCAGCTGTCTCTGAGGGCCTTCAGCCTACTGTTGACCTGCTCTTGTACACTCTCGAAGCGCGTGTCGTCGCCGAGCGAAGACGCAAAAGACCTTGTGCGATATACGAGCAAAGAGCCCTCGGAATTGGACCGCCGTAACTTAGGCGCCGGTCGGTCGCTCGATATCTTAGGGGACTGTTGAAGGGTATCGGTGCTCTCGTCGCTGAATTCGCGCTGGGGTATCGGAGCGGTATTGGGATGCTGTGGCACCTGTACGAGGCTCCTCGATGCGCTCCTCGACTCTTTGGGTGTGGAGTGGCTGGCGCCATCCTGCTGTGGTATGTCTCGGGCTGGTCCACTACTGGCGAAGGTATCTCTCCTCCGCCTGTCAGAGGTGCGTGGCTTCTCTGTATCGAGCGAAAGTGCTGACAAGCTCGGGAGCGAAAAGTGCATGTCTTTGTAGGATTTGGTGATGGACGTGGGCAGGGTGAAGGGCATGTATTTGCGCATCGTGTCCCCCATGGAGCCGCTCGAGGATGCCCGCCGTCTTCCGATCTGTAGGGTCTCGCGGAGTATAGCTCGATGGTCGCCCGCCTTCTCCTTGTGGAATGTCTTCGGACCTGCTCGCCATGGCGAAGGGAGTCGCGCTCGAGGGTCGGATTGCCGCTCGCGGTCGTCATTGCTCGATGTGTGCGTGGGCTTCGGCCTCACGTCAGCTTTCTGAACATCTTTGCTCGGTTCTGGACGCGGTGTCGTCTTTCTCAGTTCCGGTGTGGCATCGGTAGCTTCCTGCCAGCCCTCGAAAAAGGCTCCGTCTTCCGTGTCCTCTAGGGCAGCAGCCTTTTCCGCAGCCGGCGTTTTCGGCGAAGTCAGACGCGTCTGCTGCTTTCCTATGCTGACTCCAATTGCTGACTGTGCTGTTTCGAGCCCGAACGCGCTTTCCTCCGGCGACTCGTCTTCGGAGGGTGTGAGGTCATCGTCGACGATAGAGGCGAATTGTATGTCGGCGAGAGCACTTTGTCGACGCTGGTGGTGGGTAGGGGCTATAGATGTCTCTGCCATGGTAGGCTAGCCGTAGGAATTGGTAGGTGTATGGGCTGCAAAAGTGGCCCGAAAGTTGGCGTTGTCATGTTTACGGTACATGCTCCTCCCGCAGTGTGGCAGTGTCAGCTTTCCGCCCGCTGCCGAAAGCAGCGACATTCATGGCCGACCATCCCAGTCATCCGACCCAGCTTCATCTCGATATCAAGGACGGACGAGCGACGGTCTATTGTAGGCGACAACGGTGCAATGACGGCAAGCGCGACGCATATATTACCAAGGGCAAATGTCACGTCCAAGAGCGTGTCATGTCGATCGCGTCACGCCAGCCCACGCCCACGCGCCACGACGCCACGTTTCGTCCTTAGTCAGCTCTTCACATGACGAATCACCCCTCATCCTTTGCAAACCATCCCGAGGCAGCGGCTCACTATAGCACACTTTCGTTATCAGCAATCTCTATCTCTATCCTTTGTTATCGTCGTATATTGGCACGCGAGCGCTTTCGCCAGTGCGATAGCTGTTGTTCTTCTGGTTCCGGAAGGTTGCACGCAAGATGTGGACTCTCTCATCTTACGAGATACCCACGGCATATTAGGCTCCGTGTGATATCTCTTCACGAAAATTTAAATGGCTATGCAGCTTCTCGCGAAACTGTCTTCAAAGATCTATGGAAAATCTTAGCATGCGGCTCCGCGTCCTCCCGCTGATGCATGCAATCTAGCCTTCCGAGCCCGAGGTCGGATCGCACTCAGGAACAAGTCAGCCGATCTCCATCAGACCACCCCGGCTGCTTCTTAGTAACCCAATCGCAAGTTTGCGGGCTTTGTTCGCCAATTGAGTAACTTAACCCTTGGTGGAGCAAAGACTGGGCCTCGTAGCCCTTTGTTAGCCGAGCTACACTCTCGCGCCGAATGATCATCCCTTCCCGTACGACCGACGACAGAGCGACAACGAATGACAGACGTCACAATGAACTAGCATCGAGCGCAGAGACGTTATGCTAACGCATCAGCATCAGCAGTTATGTCATGGTGCGATTCAAGACTGGGCCAAGTCCACATCGTCACAATATAACTTCACCGCTGGTCCTAGCCAGCGCTCGTATTTGACTGTCCTACATCTTCTCATCTTGGCCTCACCTACACTCTTTCCCATTAGCTCAACATACCCAGCTTAGCCGCAATTCTCACACAAATCCGTCTCGAAAATGTCGATCCTACACCTCCCAGAACCACCGCCATCAACATCCATCACGCTCGGGCAGATCACTACCAACCCTTTAAGCGCCGCCTGCGACTCCATCAAGCCTTCAGTATCTTCAGAGTTTACACAGAAGGTGACCCGCTCAAAACAAGAGGACACTACATCTACATTGCACGTCAGCGTCACCGAACCATCACAACTCTTCGACACCTTACGCAACGACACCAGCACACGAGACTTCCTCCGCAAGCTATCGCAACAAAACAAGCCAATCTACTTCGTCACCGGCCTCCAAACTTCCAAACCCCCAAGCCACAAGCGTGCGACCGTGTCACACGAGCCCATAACCGAGGCTACGGAAACCCCGCAAATACAACAAGTCCAACTACCCTTCCGACGGGTAGACTCGGCATCTAACATGGCTTCCTCTGGCGAAGAAGGTTCAGTCGTCGCAGTCGAGCTAATGAAAGTAAAGTGCCGCGTTGGCGCCGTGAATGAACCACATTGTATTTCGGATGTGGACTATGTGTGGAGCTACCATGCACTTGAGGGTGAGGACGAGGATTTGCAGTTATCTATTGGGCTGGGGAAGGCGGTGGAGGAACGGGAGTGGAAGGAGTTGACGGGTAGTAAAGAAGAACGGGTGGAAAGAGACGCTGATCATAACTGGTCTTATGACTACGAAGACAGCGACGATGGTCTTGGTGGGTTCTAAGCTGAGACCTCTGTGAACAAAATATTACCTTCCCATGACATCAATCCAAACCCTTTACATCCATACAGTCAACAGTACGCTTCTCAATCTCCTCCAATGTCCTCCACAATCGCAATACCGTAGACCTGAGTATACTCCGTCTTCGCATCCCTTTCTGCATCCACCTCACTAATCCCGTTCCTCATGTTCCTCTGCGTCAGCAACTTGAGCATCACAGGTTGGCAGTGCTCAACATGCTTAGCCTTGAACACCTGCAACTCATGGCTCTTCGTCTTGTAGTCGCTGATCTGTGCTTTCATATCACCAACAGTGTTTTCGAGAGATGTCTTGGCTTCAGTCAACGTGCGGACCTGTTCCTCGAGCGCAGCGGTATCCGGGGTGTCGATGGCAGTAGTCAGGTTGATGAAGTCAAGCAACGAAGTGCGGTTGGACGGAGCGATCTTTTGTTTCTTGTTCATGGCGGAAGAGGTGGGCGCTGGGGTGAAGAGTTCGCGCTTCGGGAACGTGGGCCATGGGCTGGATGCGCGGAGCTGGTAGCCCGATTCCATGATGTCGTCTTCGTCTTCGGATATCTCGATAAGGTCTTGGATGAGATCTTCTCTGGGCGACGTTGCTTGCTGTTCGTCATTTCTGGATTGGGTGACGGTAGGCGCTTGTGTTTGGCCATGCGCTATAGCGTCTACAGCAGAAGCGTCCGCTGTACGGTACTGGCGGTATCGCGTCGGCAAAGCCTCTTCCCGCCCACCTGCTTGGAGTGTCCGTCGTAGTCGCGCCCACGCCTTCTTGATCACTGCCGCCAGCTCTTTAGGTCGTGCGTCTACTCGAGTCTGAAAGCCCTCGTCGTCTTGGAGTCCAGCGTCGATGAGCGCAACACGTGCGCACGTGCTGATTCTAGCAAACCAGATTTTGCGTGTACCGACGTTGTCTTTACTCTCAGTGAGTAGCTGGAACGCAGGCGCGAAATCAATGGCGCCGTCTAGTGTTTCAGGCAGTTGGACCTCGAACAGGCTACCATTGAAAAAGCACATGCGCCACGGTCCCGACAGTGTCTGTATTTTGGCAGTGGGTTTGGGATGACGGAACGCTGCCCATACTGGTGTGTTTTCGGCGTCACGGAGATGACCTAGGAGGACTTTACCAGGGAATAAGGCGAAGTGTTCTCTGCTGTTGGGATCTAACAAGGTGATTGCTCGCTCTTCATGGGCCGTTATGGGACGCGTCTGGAACCAATGTTCGGCGGGGATGAGGTCTTTTAATACCTTGATGTAGTGTGTCGCTGTATTCTTCTGCGGTCGAGGCTTCGACACATCAAGTGCGATACTGTCCTTGGCCTCTGCAGTGTGGCCGGGGGCGGAAGCCGATGCAGCGGGAGCTGCTATTGCGCCCGCCGACGATCGTATACTTGGCCTAGCTGCTTGCGATACGTTGTTCAGACCCTTCTCGACATTCTTCCGTATCGATGTGAGTAGATCGGCGGGTATACCAGAGACCGTGGCTTCCGAGTAGCCAGCCTCCAACATCACGATCTTGATCACTATCTTCAATCGCTCCTCCCAAGCTGCAGTACCAAGAGGACACGCATCATCTGCGACAAGGCGACACCATGGTACGAACTGAGACTGCGCAAATGGTGTATGATCCGTATTGTCGCCGCCGCGGTTGTCCTCGTAGTGTACTTCCATCGTCGTCTTGTGATTACTCATTATCCGGCGCAGATAGCCCCACACGCGACTACCATCGTTTGTACCGAGGAGGACTTTACCGGGGTAGAACGGACGTCCATAGTATATGTCCTGTTGTGAGGCTTCCACCGTGGGATAGCAGTCGATTGGGATGGCGTTGCGTAGCTTCGCGAGCACGGCCGGGTGCTTGTTTTGCTGGTCTTTGAGTATTGCTTTGTTGATGCGTACATCTTTAGTGGGCTGTTGTAGTTGTTAGCCTCTATCAGCAGACACTGTATGTCGCGATGCACTAGTCTGCGAACCTCTTGAATGGTGGGCGCCATAGGGGCACGTTGCTCTATGTAGTAGTTAGTAACTGCTATCGCGTTACATCCTTAGGGTTCCGCCTGTCTCTGTGGTTTACAGAGTACTTGAACCTGTTGGGGTGTTGTTTTGCGTTTTAGAAAACACGGGACTTACCTGGCCTCTAGGCTGTAACAATCTACTTGAACAGATATAGCGCTACAGAGCCGACTCTTTGTTGTCGCGACTGTATATATGGTATGCTTGTGCGTGATCAGATTGATAGCGCAGTCTCGATACAGTGCAAGTTGTAGAAGACGAAAGAGGGCGCACTGCGTCACTAACGCGGCTAGCGTCGTCGGATTACCTATGAGATCATAACAAACGAGAAATGTATTCACTGCAATGCGCGAATTATACCGAAAGAATGTTTTTCGGCTATACAGATGACTAGACACATCCTGCTCAGTTCTGAGGCACTCTAAAGAGGCTCAGCCAAGTGCTGTCCTAATAGTGGATAGAGAGGAAGTAGTAAATGCACACTTTTGGAAAGCAAACCGAGAAGGAAAATAACATACAGGTAACTCCACCGCCTGCTAATTGTGCCACAGAGGCTGCATTTATAGCATCGGCTGTGTCATTTATAGGCACATAGAGCCTGACTAACAGCGGAAGCGCTTACAAGGACCGCAACTTTTGCTCATAGTAAGCAAGAACCAAATGAGAGCAGCTTCTTCAAGATCGCTGAGTTGTCGAAAATTCTCGACACACTCAAGCCATATCGCTCAGCGCTCCGCCTTCAACTTCGATACCGTAGGTCTCGACGTACTGGCGCTGAGCATCTCGTGTTGCCGTGTCTGGATCGATGCCATCTCGTTCACCAATGTCGAAAGCCATGACTTCGAGTAGAATGTGTTGAGCATGTTTGACATGCGCTTGCTTCAACTTTTTGAGACTGTTCGTCTCCGTTTGTAGCTCGGCGCCATCTCGCTCCAGCTTCGCTATCTTCTCACGGGCGGCGGCCAACTCACTTCGCAAAGTTGCTGCGCTAACAGTATTCTCTTTGCAGGTTGCCTGAAGCCGTTCGTTTTCCGTCCTTTGTCGCTCGGCTTCGGCTTCGAGACTTGCACATTTCTTCTTGGACGCGGCGAGCTCGTAAGATGATGACCCTGGCCCAGTCTCACGAGCCCTCCTGAGGAACTGTATCGACGGGGATATCTGATCGAGGGTTAGAAGGGTAGCACAAGGTGTTTAGTGACTTACTGAGCTTACGGTTGAGAATCCTCTTGGGGCTGGTGTCGTGGCCAATGAGATTGAATCTCCAGCATCATCACCAGCTTCGTGACCAGAGTCCATACGACGCTTTTTGGGCCTCATGTCTGCAATCGGGGTGATCGGAGCACTGGCAAGAATACCAATGCTGGATGAAGCAATGACATCGCCCGAAGCTTCCACATCAGCGGGTTTTGCGGTGCTGGTGTCAAGCTTCTCCCGGTGTTGACGGATGATCTCTGCGACTCGTGCTGGTTTTGTCTGGATTGAGAGCTCGTCTCCGTCAACTAGTCCCGCGTGCACGAGCGCTGCCCGTACACAAACGGCTACCAAAGCCCGCCAGGGATCGCGTGTGTGAATCTTCGTTTCGCGTGCTTCAGGATCTCCAAGATATCGAAAAGGTTTGTCGAAATCTATCCTACTAACAAGATCTCCATCCCTCAAGTTTGCCGTTCGGCCGTTGTTCCAGTAGCACAGAATGTGTCCAGACCTTTTGGCGGACGCTTTCCCTTTGACCCTTGCCCACACTTCCTGTGGTGAACCGCTCGGCGATTTTGCAGATGGCAAAGATCCAAGGAAGACTTTTCCGGGGTAGATCTTGCCGACGTTTTCATTGCAGACCTCGACACGTGGCCAGACTGTAGGTGGAAATGCTTCCTGCAGTTCTTGTATATGCGATGGTTGCATACCAGACTTCTTTGCAGAACGCGCGTGAGCGATACTGCTAGGTTCTGTCAGAGACGCATCTTCCTCGTTATCTCCATCCAGATAGTCGTCTTCAGAGTCAGGTGCCATGATCTGTTCGACGAATGTCTCTAGGTCGTCTTCCTCGGACGGACGCTTGCCATTGGCGTTTCGCATTGAAGAAGAACTGGCCTGGTGGGTAGGCTTGCGCTTGTTGATGACACTGATAATTGTGGCCAGGTCTGGAAAAGTATAATCTTTTGGGTTCAAGTATCCACTCCCAAGGAGAGCAATCTTTACGACTGTCTTGAGGCGCCTCTCCCATTCGCCACCAGAAGAGCCCACAGGTGACTGGTCTGTAGCGATCATGCAACACCATTTCTGGAATGCGACCTTGCGGAACTTCGGCTCGCCAATTCGGAGCTCCTCTTGGGTATTGTAGTAAAAACTGAGTACAGCACCTCCTCTGCAATCGATCTTCCAGAGATGTGCCCATAAGGCGCGTTCTTCCGCAGTATCGTGTCCCGGATCTTTTTCCGAGTAGACGTGGCCGATCAGTACCCTCCCGGGTTGAAGCTCTGCTTTGCCGAACGATACGTCTTCTGAGAGTGCTGGGCGTACCTCCGGCCAAAGGTTATCGGGAAGGACCTCGCGAAGTCTTGTCAAGGCCTCATGATGTACAGGGAATGTGTTAGCCTTGTTGTTTGTTCCGGTGAAATGGGAACTCGGCTTGCTGTCTGATACCATAGTACGGTTTGTGGCGAGGTGCGAATGGAGGTATGTCGGCTGGCGGCTGATACGGGGTGAGTGATTTCGATTAGAGTGATGTGTCGAGAACGTCAGTTATTGAATCTGTAATATTCTCATTCAAGACTTGCTGAACTCGTGAGCGATTCGTCAAGACCAGAGAATGGAGGTGACTAGACCAGAGTACGAGAGTGGCAGTGATCAGGCGTGCCAGGATCGAATTGAGTAACACAGGAGCAGGAGGTTGAGTCAATTAGGATGGAGAGTGACCATAAGTTTGAATTTCGTCATTGCAATAACGGGTGCCCGCGAGGTTGGGTTTAGTCACTACAAACAATGGGTGACGGGCGATCTGAGTGCCAAGAGAGGGGCGCCATCGGACGCGTTAAGGCAGCCGTTCAGGCCTGACTGCCAGGGGAATTGAGACATTGCAGTGGTGCCGGATGTGAGTCAATATTGTGATAGGCTGAATGTGCTCGTGTATGAGACGAGTGATGGAGATGCAAACGACCTGGAGCGGGATACCTGTCGCGCTAACGACTGGGCTAGCGCGAAAGAAAGGTACTTCGGGCAGGCACACCAGCAAAGGACATCAAAGGACATCAAACCCCCCTCCACACCGCCGAATGACGTACGATAAACAGACGAACCGACCTCGCTATTGGACGCCGAACCTTTAGAGAAATTGTCCAGCTCGCCGTGACTACCGATGGCACATCTCGCTCGCGTCTACAGTGCGCGAAGACGCGTCGCGCTGAACACCAATGTCGAAACGACCTGTCACGAACAGGACACAGCCTCTGATACGTCGCGATATCGGGTGGACACCGCAAGATTCACCCTGTGATAACAGCAACCGCAATGGCGGGTCTACAACCATACATGGGGTATAACATGCGGGAAGCTTGTGTCGGTTCGGCAGCCGACAGTGCAGCTGGACGAGGATGTCAACTTCCGCGCAGGCTGGCCAGCGCAACCCGCCTAGAACAGGTCTCGGGGCATATAAAAAGCCATGTCGCTGGTCTTGTGGGTCGATGCTTCGGCTAGGCGCGTTGAACAGCCACTGTCGCTATAGGCTTGAGGAGCTTGCTCTCCTGCACAGGGTACGCACTACCGTGGAGACGACCTGCCGTTTGGTCATGGTCTCCGCTCATGCTAGAGTAGCGACGCGCCGCTGTAAGTGCTCCTGTAGTACACAGTTGCCGCTGGCTTGTCATAGAGCATGGCATGGACTACAGTCGAGCAACTGCCTGATGGATGCTACGTGCCAGATAAGTGGACGGTAGAGGGCTTATCGTCCAAGCTTTCTCTGAAGACCGAGCACTAAATGTAGCCGGGATATTGATCATCTCGCAGACCGCACTCGCAGCCGTAGTACACGATCGTTTTGCAAGCGCGCAGGCATACTCGTGACACGATACCAAGTTCCAGCTGAGCGTCGTTACCACCTGCTCGGTTATATAACGAGAGCACGATTTGGCGAGCGAAGAGGGAACGATGTGATGAACATGGGTGGAGAGTGTGCATGGGTCTACCTGATACATTCGTGATTGATGAGAGAGCGCCTTTCGATCTCTGGTAGGCGTACCTTCATACTATACACTCCGAATGGGCTATGTGTAAATCACCCTAAACCCGATCTTTTGCCCGCCTCATCATGTCCGCTAATGAGTTCTCTGATAGTTCTGTGTCTGAATGTTCGAACCGCTCTGTGATTAGCAGGAGCTTCCAGGGTTTAGCTACCGCCAGTACTTTGCGCCCTCCCTGGTCATGGTCATCCAGCTCAGCGAGCGATTTGCTCTCAATAGCATCTAGAATGATCGGCCTGCAGACCTCGTAGACCTCATGGACTCTACGGAAAGATTCATCAAGACATGGCCCTTTCATTATCGCACCTAACATCCATAGCATACCGAGGATACCATCACAACACTTTTTATGCTATGTTAATTTGGAACACGGTGTGCACCTCCAAGGCATGATATAGCCAAAAGAAAACGAGTCTCATGATAATAGGTTGTGGATTGGGACGTTGCGGTGGGGTATCGCTCTTTCCTCATCGCGTGTGCACGTGCGGGGCAAATGACAGAGCTTGATCTCACCAATCACCGTTTATCTCCGTCTGCACCATCGCCAGTCAACTCATCTCTCGCTCTTACATCAACACCAAGGCATCGTATATGTATCCGTTCCCTTGAACACACTACTACTCATTCGTCGCCATGCACGAAATCGTGACTTTACAGTTCGGCAAGCAGAGCAACTACCTGGGCACTCACTTCTGGAACACACAAGTCAGTCGCGAGTTTTTAGCGTCCCGCCGCCTCATCTAATATTTTCGCAGGAGTCCTACTTCACATACCCGCCCGAGCCAGAGTCACCTGTGAATCATGACATATTGTTTAGGCCGGGTGTTGCTCCAGATGGGTCCGATACTTTCACGCCAAGAACGCTCATATACGATCTCAAAGGTGCTTTTGGTAGCATGAGAAAGATCAATGCCCTGTACGAGGCCGAAGACGACAGAAGCATATTAGATCAGAACGGTGTCTGGCCATCGAAGCCTATTGTACAGCGCGCAACAGAGACTATCCCACAATCCACCTATCAAGAGCACCTCGATGCCGGCCTGCAGCCTCCTCCGCTCAGTACGTCGTCTGTCAGATACTGGTCAGATTATAGCCGTGTCTACTACCATCCAAAGTCCATTGTTCAGCTGTCCGAGTTTGACGTCAACGACAAGCTTATGCCCTTTGAGAGCTGGGACGTAGGGATGGAGCTTTTCGAGAAGCTTGAAAGGGAAGTAGATCTGGTTGACAGAGATTTACGACCGTTTGTCGAAGAATGTGATGGCATTCAAGGGCTCCAGATCTTCACGGGTGTTGATGACGCCTGGGGCGGTTGGGCCTCGGGATGGCTCGAAAGGCTCAGAGACGAGTACGGCAAGATGAGCATTTGGACATGGGGCCTAGGTGACCATGGTGCCAACTCATCGACCCCTCGAGTACGTTCATATCCAGGGTTCTGGAGGAATTACAGACTAACATAAAGCAGGAAAGACGCATACAACAAGTCGCGAATTCTGCGCGATCTCTTCAAATACTTGGAGAACAGTCGTCGGTGTACGTACCGATGTCGAACAGCCCTGCTAAACTACCGGGCTATCTATCGTTAGATGCAACTTCTCCCTGGCATGTTGCAGCTTTACAGGTCATGGGTCTGGAAAGCATGACCATATCGTCACGTTTGAGAGCGTCTTTGGGCGGACGCGGAACGCTTCAGGACTTGGAAAACACTATCAACAGTACCGGGAAACGACGTATAGCGAAGCTCGAGATGAGTGCTGCAGATCCGGAGGTACTGTCAGATAAGGCTTTCGATGAAGCCGAGAAAGCGGAAAAGGTCGGTTCCATGACATCAAGGCAGACAAGTGAGGGCGACGATCGACTAAGCCATTTCGACATTGATACCTTCACTCGCGATTACAGAACAGCTACCAGGAAAGGAAAGAAAGAACACGTTTTTGGGCGCGCGGAGGCTTATCGTGGAGAGTGGGCCCTGTCTGAAGATAACGAACGTGATCCTCATGACAGGTTCGATAATGGACCAGCAGTGCAAAGGTATGTGTCACTTCATCACCATCGATGCGTATACCGTATTATCAGTGCTTGCAAACTGGGCGCATAACGAGGAATTCAGGCTGACGCGTTTCAGATTTGCTGCACCGCTACTATTTCCTTTGCTTGACAGCTTTCCTCGTTCGATGCTGGACGTAGGGTCCGGTCACTCCACTAAGCTTGCTGTACATACGGGGCTGACGACAAGTACCACTGTCGCTGATCAGATCCGAGCAGTCGAGCAGATCGTCAAGCGAATGGGCGGCATTGAAGAAAAGGAAGCGCTATGCAACGGCTTACAAGTCCTCGCGGAAGAATACGATGAAGGCTGGGATAGTGGATCAGAAAGCGATGACGACGATTAGTCGCGTTGCAACGAGCCTGCTTTTTTACGCGTGGCTGGCGCACAGTGTCTTCATGGAAATGACAGCGCGTCTGCTCCCGGCCTCAATACACAAGGATATTACCGTCAGATACGACCGATTGATCTGCGACACAACACTCTGGTGACACCAATACAACACATACCTTTGCGCGATTCGTAGCGGATGTGCAGGGCCGGAATTTCTGTGCTCGAAGAACTTTTCATCACTGAGCAAGCACTGCGACATCTGACGGATGTTGAGGTGCCGCCACGACGGTACAGGGAACCCCGAACGTGGAAGGCATCAGACCCCATCGAGCTCGGCTTATGAAGAGCATGCGACGAACCCCCATACTGACATCATACTGAACAAGTCGTTATGCATGGTGCTTCGTTACGCCGCAGTTCGGGCTTGATCGCCAGGGCAACCCTCTGCAAGTTTTGCGCTGTTAAGAGACCTCTATTTCCTGATCGCAAGCCGAGCTTCGGACTGAGCCGGACTAAGGCCGCGATCTGCTGGTGGGCCAAGACATGACCTAGTGATATTGGTGAAGGTTTTACTGCCTCGCGCGTATGCAGGGTGGAGCCTGCCGCTGAACCTTTACGCGTTCGCGGACGCTTGTACGAAGCGCCGGGTAGCTAAACTGCAGGTGTGCGCGGCAGCTCTTGCTCGCCCGAACACCACAACAACGGTCGTCTGGAACCCAAATCTGACTGCGATGCACGATACGGCTGGGCGTCCTTGCTAGGTTGGGGCCAGTCGCAATCAGCTAATTACTTTCCGAACGGCGGCGGCAGCTGCTGCAGGAACTATCTACAGCTGCCGTAAGCTGACGCGCAGCCGGTCGTACAACGACAGTCAGGAAAACTCTGATTCTTACTGCGATTGCCCACTGATCGGGGCAACGCGGGGTAGCGAGGCATGCGAACGTTACAGCAGTCTGGCTGGGACACTACCAGCCTCCAATGAGTCCGCCAATTGCAATGCGCCGAAAAGTTCACGATATGGAAACACCCTGGATTTTCAATAAACACGCCTGCAAGCCACCGTCTTAGCTCCTGACAGTGGCCGGTTCAAACGCTCAAAGCTATTGATTGAGACCGGCCATGCGCCCAAGGACAGCAAACAAACGGAGGAGAGTCCGCGCCATGCACAACTCTCATTACTACAGTTCTGTCGCGTGCAAAGAGGTGGAAAGTTTGGTCAGCGCGTCCCAATACACGCGCAATTCCCGGGATGATGTAAGATAATCCTTGCTACAGTGCAGGGTCGCAACATTGTACAGTTTCTCAACAATACGCCCAAGGAAGCTTGTTTATCGCTGTCATGCTAGGACAGTAGTATAGACAATCTTCCAAGCTTCCACTGAGACCGCCGTCAGCCGAAGTCCCATTATGTTGGTGCACAGCTCGTGTTCACGACAGACCAAAGCCCACGATGTCTTAGCGGCCCTGCAGTCCGCGCAAATATACCTGGCTGTTTGGATTTCGGACTCACAGAATGACCCTCGTGTTACCCGGTGACACATTGAATACAGGAAAACGGTTCGATGGCGTTTCATTGGTGCGGCTGAAGACTTATGCCATGTTAGGACAACGTTATGTCACTGCCACTCACCATCGGTTTGTGGGGTGGCTGGAATACAGCTGTAAGTTCCAACCTCTGCGGCTACCAAAACGGTCACCAAGTCAGCATGCATGAGAAGGCAGGGCGTCGTGTTCTCCTAACCACCGACTATCCTGGTAGCCTTATGCATGCAGCTACAATTGAGGTAAGTCGCTCGCTGACTAGCGATCTTTCGCAGCCGGTTGCTAGGGTAAACTTGGCCAGCAAACGTTCTTAGAGACGCCTGCCATACCGAGAGAGCCTCGTCCCGTGGTATGGCCGAGACTACGAACATGATCGACTTGAGGTGATTTGGAACTAAAAACGTCCGGATGAATGTGGGGAACGACTTCGGAGCCCCTCAACCGTCGTGCGTGGATGCGACCCTGTTGTGGCTTTCCCATGGGTAGGGCAGAGCAGAAGGCTGGTAGGGTGTGAAGATCCCGCCTCCCCTAATGAGTATATTAGGTTCACATTCCTCCTCAGTCTCATCTATCGTGCCTCTCAAGCTTCATCAAGTCTTCGATCTTCAACACAGCAGCTCTTTCGTTACGGTTGCTCTGTTACTTTCGCTTCGCACCCATCACCTAGTAATACTCTTTACTCCCTAATACTTCCGACACCTCTCGTCAGAACAAGATGAGATACTCCTTGGCAACGATGGCCCTCGTGGGCGCTGTCTACGCTGCCCCCTACGGTGGCGGCTACGGCGCCTCCAGCAGCGGCGGCTACGCTGTGCCTTCCTCTGTATGTTAACACAAGTACCCTCAGCTGTTGAAGCGTTCAACTCTAACAGCATATAGTCCGGATACGGTGCCTCTCCCTCCGTGAGCAAGCCCTACGAGGCATCCAGCACTCCTTGCGAAGAAGAGAGCAGCAGCATGCCTCCGGTTGTGACCTCTTCGACTTACGTCCCACCTGTCGTCACCTCCAGCTACCCGGTTCATGAGTCTTCAAGCGTCCCCCATGTCTCCTCCAGCACGCCTTGCCCGGAGTCAAGCACCCCTGTTGTGCCATCCTCCACCTACACTCCCCCCGTTAAGACGTCGACCTACACTCCCCCAGTCGTTACGTCGACCTACACTCCTCCGGTTGTGACTTCGACCTACACTCCCCCGGTCGTTACGTCCACCTCCATCTACGTACCACCCGTGAGCTCCAGCTCTCCCTGCCCGGAGACTGAGACCATCACCGTGCCGTTCTCGAGCTCCAAGCCCTACGTGCCATACTCGAGCTCTAAGCCTTACGTGCCAGAGGTCTCCAGCACCACTGAGGTCACCATCACCTCGACTGTTGTCATTCCTCCCAGCTCCACTCCTTACGTACCCGAGGCTTCCACTTACCCTGTGGTCCCTCCCGTCGTCACCTCGTCTGTACCCGTCCCGGAGGTCTCCACCTACCCGGTCGTCCCTCCCGTCGTCACTTCGTCTGTACCTGTACCGGAGGTTTCCACCTACCCAGTCGTCCCTCCCGTCATCACGGAGTCTGTGCCCATCCCAGCGGTTTCCACCTACCCTGTGGTCCCTCCCGTCGTCACCTCATCCGTGCCCGTCCCTCCCGTTATCACCGAGTCTTTCCCCATCCCTGAGACTTCCACTCCCGTCGTCCCCGAGGCGTCTTCGTCCGGATACGCCCCTCCCCCTCCTGTTATCACTGAGTCTGTCCCCATCCCGGAGACTTCCACTCCCGTCGTCCCCGAGGCGTCTTCCTCCGGATACGCCCCTCCTCCTCCTGCTGAGGAGACTACCACTGTCGTTGTTCCCCCTGCCTCCTCCCACGCCTCCACACCCGTCGGTACCGCCTCATCATCCATTTACCACGCCTCGTCCGCTACCTCCCCTGGCTACCCCGAGTACACTGGCGCTGCTAGCTCCACCAAGCCCCTCGCTGCCTTCATGGCCGGTGCTGCCGCTCTCGCTTACTTCGTCTGAGCGGTCGACTCTTACCACACTTTGTACAAGATGTACAAAAGCACACTTTTCGCTTTTCTTACTCTCCTTCATCGCAAGACTTCACCCAACCCCCTTTTAATCCCCCACACAACGACGACACGGGCACACGGAGGATAGACGGGCAACGCATTACGACGTTCTCTTGTAATCACTAATGACCTTTACTACTCTTCTTCGGCGGCGTGGCCCGGTCATGGCGAATGCGTCACATGGCTTGGCCATGAGCATTTTGTATGCGCCCTATCAGCAAGCATTTATTACAGTGTCCTGCGATACGCGACTGCGCGGAATGGTTTGGAGTAATGTATCGAACGAAAAGTAATGACGGTGGCCTTCTGATTGGAATCTAGATAGCTCATGTAACTGTAGCAGTAATCTATCACGAGGTTAACCGGCTTCTGAGAAAGGTACCATTGGAGTGGTTGACTTGCGCGACGCGCTTTTTTTTTGTTTGGTTGAATCAATCGCGCTGCTTTCCATTGTATGGCTTGTGGCTTCCGTATACTTCATGTTGATGGTGACTCGCATCGTTATTGTCATTCTGACTCTTTCGACGCGTAGGGAGCGCGCAGGTGCTGCGAGGCTGGTAGGCCGGATCAGGCTGATCGCTCCAGGGGGTCAGCGCGCGTATACACGCTAACACCGCCATCGACAGCAATCCGAAGTTGCCTGAAAAGGAAGTTTACCGTACGTCATGCCGCAACACCCGAAAGATGCCGATCAGCCTTACCCGCACCCCTCGACACATCAAATCCCATGGCATACGCAACGCTTCTCCACAAATCTGCCCTGAAATCCCATGTTAGGGCCCAGATCAAGATGCAGGTCACGGCGCCCACCCCCCATCCTTTTCTTACACCAAAACGCGCGCGTGAACATTCAGATCTCCCGATCTTCGAGTCCATGAATCATCGACTCCCGCATCTAGCACCGCTGTCAATTAACACTGTCGTCATCTTACGCTCACGCATGCACGCGTCAACCTAGGACAACACGTATATAGTACACAACCGCGTCAATGGATTCAGCTTCCGACAACCCAAACTCCATGCCTGCAGCAACCAGTGGCTCTCGCTCCAAGCTCCTCTCAACCAATCTCAAGAACTTCATCAGTAAACCCGCCCTCAAGCATCCTCAGAAAGCACTTACCGTGCAGCTTTGGAACGCAGAGCAGCAGTCCAATCCAAGCGGTAGCAACCCACCTCCTCGACTCGCAGCAGGACAGCAAAGAGCAGAGATGTCGACTTCAACGAGCGGACAGGCCACCGGCGATATCGTCAGCAGCGGAAACTCAGCCTTCCCCAAGACGAGCGAAGCGCCCGGCGAGCAGTTCGAGCCCAGACAGACGGCTACGAGTGAAGACTACGAGCCCGACCCAAGCAAGAGCATCAAGCTCAGCCCGCAACGCCAGGCCTTAGTCGACGACGTAAGCCCACCTCTCTTGCAACATCTGCCTACATACAAAAGACTAACACCTCACCCCCCAGATCATCGCCCTCTACTCCTGCCAACCCACCATCACCCGCGTAAAACGCTACACCCCAGACTGCGTCTACGACGACCAATTCGTCTACGCCAACGACCGCTACAAAATGGCCGGCCAATGGTTCGCGCTCCCCAAACTCTTCAACGCCTCCATCAACGAATCCTACCAAGTAATCCGCTCAGACTCCGAAATGATCCAATTCAAAAACAAGCAGTCCTGGACCTTCCGCTTGATCCCCAAGACCGCTACTATCACGGGCCTGGTATCGCTGAGTCTGGATCCGGAGACGAGGGATACGGAGTTTATGCAGGTCAAGTATCATAAGGATCAGGCGAATGATAAGGATTATAGTCATGAGGGGGTCGGGTTTAGCTTTAAGAAGTGGCAGGCGGATAATGTGGTTAAGCATATGAGTGCGCCTGAGTTGAAGGAGTTTGAACAGGATAAGGGGGCGAATAAGGAGCATGTGAGGAAGTATGGGAGTGGGAAGGAGGATGGGGAGGCGCCGAAGAAGGATTTTACGAATTAGGGTGATGATGGGGATGCGACAAGAGCTATGAACGAATAAATGATTGAATGAGAGAAGGCTTTGCTCCGACCTGCTTACTTACGATGATATCCCACATATTATCATTCGGACGTGACTGAGTGTATACCTGGGTTGATGAACGTTGACGCGGAACCATTTGAGGAGTAATATTCCGGTAGTGACAGTTTGAGATTATGACCTTATACAGAAATCAAACGGGATCATTACCACCGTTCTAGTTTGAGCGTGTTGCTCATTGTCAACCTACATTTCACTCCGTATGAAGGCTGCCAGATCGTCGATTTTCTCTTGGTCTGCCGAAGGCGGGTCTACCCAAGTTCTCCGCCCATGAACCGAGAGCTGTGGCAGCCCTGCAGCCAATGAGTCCAAGAGAAGCTCGATCTTCTTGACCTCGTCCAGTGGTGTTCCCTTGACAACCTGCACTGGCTTGGGGAGACCGATCTCCTCTCGGGTAACGTTCTTGCCCTTGTAGTCAGTCTTGTCCCAGGCTGTTCTCTTCGCATACATCTTGGCAGCGATGAGAACTGCTTTTAATTCAGCGTTGCGGCACGTATGTTTCATATGTCAGGCCTTACGCTTGAGCTGTATTTTACCGTCTGGGTCAAGTCCGATAGGATCAATTGTCCTGGGTCCTTTATCATCTGGGCCGCCTGTCACCCAGAAACTCAATATCCTTACGCTATCGGACCACTCCCTGGCCATGCCACCACCAACCGGTGGGCCATTCTTCTTGATGAATTTCGGTCTTTCGTCTGCCAGTTGCGCTTGGAGTTGCTTGGTATTCTCTCCCATTGGCTGTAGTGAGGCACCGTCTCCGTGCCAGTCGCCGTCGAAAATATAAGGGTAGATGGTATGGGCCCACTGCGGGTCACAAATATAACCTACACGACCGGCTTTCCAGTCGTCGCTGTTTATAGAGTCCTTGTTGGGCCAGCAGAAGTAGAAGCAGTGACGGGGGAACTCGCTCGTACTTTGTATGAGACCTTTCTCGTAGGAATCCAGTTGCTTACGCCAGCCTTTGCTGAGGTAGGGTTGGCGTTCACGACCGTCAGGCATGGCAAGATCTTGTTGATCTGGCAAGGGTAGCTTCCGGTGCTTCAGTAAGTGAGTAGAGGGTTCTTTGTGCTGTGCGATAGCCGTGTGTAGCTACTCGTAATTGTTGTAAACGATGATGGTATACACCAGACACTGCGTGTAGAGAAGAAGTGCATTTTGCACGGAAACGCCAGGATTTATACTTACCTCCGACTTGCCCAAAGCCATGGCCTCGTACGTAAAGACTCATGGGGAGTCAATGCTTACTTAAGTTCTGTAGTCACCACCCACATCGTATATGAGTCCTACGGCTTGCTCGCTCCGGCACAGGCAACACGGGGCCGGTAGTCATGCTTTCGAGGAGAGTGGCATGTGTCCTATGATTGAGTTGTAGGAGGTGGGGTGTGTGAGGACGACCTTGCGTTGTGAGTGAGAGCTGAGGGAAGCGTAATGTCGAGCAGGCAGCGGCGACCATGTACCATAAGTATGCGTCAACGAGGCCAAGCTAGCCGTTGCTTCCGGTCATCGCACGTGCTTGGTGAAAGGCGGAAGGTTCCACGGGAAGCCGCGGCGCTCATTCCTGGGTTCGGCGGCAGGAGCTACTGACATGTTGTGGTCTGTTTCTTTGTTCTGCTTCTCTCAGACCAACGGGTCACGGTCACTCGCGAGCTGAATCATCGGACCCTTTTTCGTTGGTCGTATCCAGTCATCGTGATCTCAATACTCATTCGTGGGTATAAATGTGCACTGGTCGGTAAGTGAATATCGAGCGGGTGAGCGTAAGCACGGCACAACCGTGAACTACCGTGAACTGCGAAGCGGCTTGGTCCGCGTCAGTAAGAAGACTCATGCGAACGCGTGAGAGAAACGAGTTGGATGTCGAAACTTCGGTCAGGTCTAATTGATCTATCAATAAAGGATGTAAGTCTATGCAAGCGGGTGGGTGAGAACGCAAATAAGAAGACCGGAACATGACTGCGTCTTCACAACTTGCTGTCGTTCTGCTTAAGTCGAATAACACCCTGATCAGGTTAGCATCGCTGAGTGTATGACTGAAGTGCGGAAGTCTTACCTCTTGTACGCAGGTCGCGATAAGGGTTCCATCTTTCGTGTACATCCTCTGGAAGACGAGGCCACGACCATCGCCAGCCCAGGGCGTCTCTGTCTCGGTGAAGATCCATTCATCGGCCCTGAAGGTACGAGGGTTGTGGAAGTAAATGGTGTGGTCCAGACTGACCATCATGCCAATCTCTGGCACGTCATCCGCAACCTTCTTTGGGTCTTCACCATTCTTGATGCGCTGTATACGCTTGATGTCTGCCTCGCTAACGGACTGGCGCTTCAACTCGGCATCGTCCATCTCCAGCAGTGTCTTGAGCACGTCTTCGCCGATGCTGGACTTAGCGGCACTCTTGCGTTGTGAGGAATAGCGCCAGAGCTTGTGGACGCGCGCGACGGTGCCGATGAAGTAGCTGTCGGACATGTAGGCGATGGCGGAGAGGTGGGCCTCGTGGCCTCCAGCGGGGGAGATGCGACCGCGCGCCTTCACCCATTGGCGGCACTTCTTGGTGTGAGGTTTGTCGGAGTCCTCTGGACGGGGTTAGGCTGGGCTGTGACGGTTGACATGTGACAGCACTCACCATTCTCGGTCGCCAGTCTCTGGCTCTGGAACGGACTGTGGCCGCTGGGATGCATCTCCGAGTCCGAATCCTCCTCTGGGCCTGGCACGTCGGCCATTGGGACCACATGCTCGACCTTCTTCGCTCCTCCACTGTTCTGGCGCACGAAACTCATAGTTGTCGTGAAGATGACCTTGCCCCGTTGGCGCGCCTGCACTGTTCTTGTCGCATAGGACTTTCCTGATCGTACTCTCTCTACGTGGTATATGAGTGGTATCTCTGAGTTGCCGGCAAGCACGAAGTAGCAGTGCATGGAATGCACAGTGAACTCGGGGTCAACCGTCTTCTGGGCTGCAGCGAGCGTCTGGGCGATGGCAGCACCGCCGAAGATGCCGCGCGCACCCGGGGGATGCCATAGTGGGCGCGTGTTGGTGAAGAGGTCAGGGTCGATGTCGGACAGTTGCGTCAGTTCGAGGACATTTTCGATTTCGGATTGCGACTGGTCAATGGGCGGCGGGCGGATGAGTGTCGCCATGGTCTCGGATTATGGATACTGGACAAGCAAGTAGTGAGGTCTAGCGATAGTTGGCCAGGAGAAGATGAGAAGAGAGCGTGCTCGTGATTACTTTACTTGACTCGGGCGCGTCCCGGCACACCTTCAGCTTCCTCGAGCCGAGGCATAACGCGCAAACCCACATGTCGCAGCAGGTACCACCACGCGCAAGGGGCAGCGACGAACGGCTGACTAAGGCGGCCAGTGAGGAAGGCACTGAGCGCCAAGAGGAAGGCGCGGCTGCTCTGGGGTAGGAACGTCATACTGGATGTCCGGTGGTGGCCTGCGTACCTGACTTGTTTGAAGGCCAATGTGCGCTTTCAGGCACTCGACGACAGGGTCTATTCCAATCTGGGACTCCCTTTTGGCCATTCTTCACGCGCGCCTTCGCCCTCACCCCCTCGCATTGGCTCACGGCGCCTCGTATCTTTACTTTTAGCATGTCGCGGATTGCCACCGCATAGCCTAACAACATTCGCTCCACCTGACTGCGCCGCCGGAGGAAAGAGACACCATGGCCGAGACGAACCCGGAGTTGCAGGCCAAGCTGCAGGAGCTGGACCACGAACTCGAGGAGGGCGACATCACACAGAAGGGGTTGGTACTCTCCTCCCGCATATATCTTCACGGTTACTGCCGCTGTCGCATTCGCATCCTCCCCCACGTGCGCTAACGAGTCGCACAGCTACGAAAAGCGCAAGACAGTGCTCCTCTCGCAGTACCTGGGGCCCGACTTCTCAGCGCAACTGCAGCATGACCTGCGCGGACAGAGCCCCGCCCAGAGCGAGGGCTCAGGCTCTCGCAGCGCATCCCTCGCCGCCCTCTCTGGGCCAAACCCACAGCAGACCCAGCAGACGCCGCACATCGAACTCCCCCGACCCGATTCGTACCATGAGAGTTCGCCGCAGGGCACCATGGGCTCGTCGATGCACTACCCCAGTTCCTCGACGAGCACCGCTGGCGGCAACTCGCAATACATGGCATACCCACCGAGCCAAGTAGGGCGCTTCCAGGAGAAGCAGCTGGGCCTGCGCACTACCTCGCTGCAGCGCAATGCCTCCCAATTGTCACAAGGGAGCGAGACATTCATACCCCGACCCCAGACGCCCGAGTACACCTACTCGCGCGAACCCACAATGATGGGCAACTACGCTTTCAACCCGGACACCCAGCAAGGCTTCGAGAATGGCTATGGGTCGCCAGGCGAGGCTAGCAGGAGGAGCACGATGCTGGACGTGAACCAGGGCTACTTCTCCGACTTCACAGGGCAGCAGATGCAGGACCAGCGCGACTCATACGGTGGACCGAACCGCTACTCGACGGGCGACGCCTTCTCCCCGACCGCTGCGATACCACCGCCCATGATGAACCCGAGCGACCTGCCTGTGGGTGCTGCAGACACGATGATGCCATTGGAACCGCGAGACCTGCCCTTCGACGTATACGACCCTCACAACCACAATATAAAGATGTCCAAATTTGACAACATCGGTGCTGTACTACGCTACCGCGCTCGTACACAGCCGAGGACTACCGCTTTCTGGGTGTTGGACGCGAAGGGCAAAGAAACGGCTTCCATCACTTGGGAGAAAGTGGCCAGTCGCGCTGAAAAGGTCGCCAAAGTGATTAGGGACAAGAGCAACCTGTATCGGGGCGACCGCGTGGCACTGGTATACAGGGATACGGAGATCATCGAGTTTGTCGTGGCTTTGATGGGATGCTTCATCGCGGGCGTTGTAGCAGTTCCCATCAATAGCGTCGACGACTATCAGAAACTCATCCTCCTCTTGACCACAACCCAAGCACATCTCGCACTGACCACGGACAACAACCTCAAAGCCTTCCACCGTGACATTAGCCAGAATCGTCTCAAGTGGCCGAGTGGCGTCGAATGGTGGAAGACGAACGAGTTTGGAAGTTACCACCCCAAGAAGCATGACGACACGCCCGCCCTGCAAGTGCCCGAGGTAGCATATATCGAGTTCTCTCGCGCGCCAACCGGCGACTTGCGTGGTGTTGTACTGAGCCACCGCACCATCATGCATCAAATGGCTTGCATCAGCGCCATGGTCAGCACCATACCCGCCAACAATCCGAATAGTCAAGATACTTTCAACGGCAACTTGAGGGATTCGTCTGGCAAGTTCGTCGCGCCAGTGCAGAACAGAGCACCTACCGAAGTCATTCTTTCTTACCTCGACCCTCGTGAAAGCGCTGGTCTCATCCTGAGTGTGCTATTTGCCGTCTATGGTGGTCACACTACCGTCTGGCTGGAAACGCCGACCATGGAGACACCTGGTCTATACGCACACCTTATCACCAAGTACAAGTCGAACATACTGATCGCCGACTATCCGGGTCTCAAGCGCGCTGCATACAACTACCAACAGGATCCCATGGCTACTCGTAATTTCAAGAAGAACACGGAACCCAACTTTGGCTCGGTGAAGATATGCTTGATTGACACGCTCACAGTTGATTGCGAATTTCACGAGATTCTCGGAGACCGTTATTTCAGACCCCTACGGAACCCCAGAGCACGAGAGCTCATCGCGCCTATGCTATGTTTGCCGGAACACGGCGGTATGATAATATCAGTACGCGATTGGTTAGGCGGCGAAGAGCGCATGGGATGCCCATTGAGCATAGTGTCAGAAGAATCTGATAACGAAGACGAGGTCGACGACAAGGCCGCGGCAGCCAACGGCTATTCTAGTCTTATCGGAGGGGGTACCACGAACAACACCAAGGAGAAGAAGAAGAAGAGCCCAACAGAATTGACCGAGATCTTGCTGGACAAGGAAGCACTGAAGTTGAATGAAGTCGTAGTTTTGGCCATAGGAGAGGAAGTGAGTAAGCGTGTGAACGAGCCCGGCACTATGAGAGTTGGCGCTTTTGGTTACCCGATACCCGATGCGACGCTGGCCGTCGTGGACCCAGAGACTAATCTTCTGTGCTCCCCTTACTCGATAGGAGAGATTTGGGTAGACTCGCCATCATTATCTGGAGGTTTCTGGCAGCTGCAAAAGCATACGGAAACCATATTCCACGCCCGGCCATATCGTTTCGTAGAGGGTAGCCCGACACCACAATTGCTCGAACTCGAATTCCTACGCACTGGATTGCTCGGATGCGTAGTGGAAGGCAAAATCTTCGTTTTGGGCCTGTACGAGGACCGTATCCGACAACGTGTCGAATGGGTAGAGCATGGCCAGCTGGAGGCCGAACACCGATATTTCTTCGTGCAGCATCTTGTCACCAGCATTATGAAGGCGGTGCCCAAGATCTACGACTGGTAAGTGTAATCGGATCCACGTGTGATCAAACTAACGCCGTGTAGTTCATCTTTCGACTCGTACGTCAATGGCGAATACTTGCCTATCATCCTTATTGAAACACAAGCCGCATCGACTGCGCCCACAAACCCAGGCGGGCCGCCGCAACAACTGGACATTCCCTTCTTGGACTCTTTATCTGAGCGATGCATGGAAGTACTGTATCAAGAGCATCACCTACGGGTCTACTGTGTGATGATCACAGCACCAAACACGCTTCCCCGAGTCATTAAGAATGGTCGACGAGAGATTGGAAACATGCTTTGCCGAAGAGAGTTTGACAATGGCTCCTTACCCTGCGTTCACGTCAAGTTTGGTGTTGAGAGGTCGGTCCAGAACATCGCGCTAGGCGACGACCCTGCTGGCGGCATGTGGTCATACGAGGCATCGATGGCACGCCAGCAGTTCCTCATGCTGCAGGACAAGCAGTACTCAGGAGTGGATCACAGAGAAGTCGTTATTGACGATAGAACGTCAACACCTCTCAACCAGTTCTCCAACATACACGACCTTATGCAGTGGCGTGTATCACGGCAGGCTGAGGAGCTCGCCTACTGCACTGTCGATGGCCGCGGCAAAGAGGGCAAAGGCGTCAACTGGAAGAAGTTCGATCAGAAGGTTGCAGGTGTCGCAATGTATCTGAAGAACAAGGTCAAGGTTCAGACCGGTGACCACCTCCTTCTGATGTACACGCATTCGGAAGACTTTGTCTATGCCGTTCATGCGTGCTTCGTTCTCGGGGCTGTGTGCATTCCCATGGCACCAATTGACCAGAACAGGCTGAACGAAGATGCCCCTGCACTACTACACATCATTGCCGATTTCAAAGTTAAGGCTATTCTCGTCAACGCCGATGTTGACCACCTCATGAAGGTCAAGCAAGTATCGCAACACATCAAGCAGTCAGCAGTCATCCTCAAGATCAGCGTACCGAACATGTACAACACCACAAAACCACCTAAGCAGTCTAGTGGTTGCCGCGATCTTAAGCTGACGATACGGCCCGCTTGGATACAATCTGGTTTCCCCGTTTTGGTATGGACGTACTGGACACCTGACCAACGACGTATAGCTGTGCAATTGGGCCACAGCCAGATCATGGCGTTGTGCAAGGTCCAGAAAGAAACTTGTCAGATGACGAGCACGAGGCCGGTTCTCGGTTGTGTGCGCAGTACCATTGGACTTGGCTTCATACACACCTGCGTCATGGGTATCTTCCTTGCAGCACCGACATATCTCGTCTCGCCTGTCGACTTTGCGCAAAATCCGAACATCCTCTTCCAGACCTTGTCGAGATACAAGATCAAAGATGCGTATGCGACCAGCCAAATGTTGGATCACGCTATTGCACGAGGCGCTGGAAAGAACATGGCTCTGCACGAGCTCAAGAACCTCATGATTGCGACTGACGGTCGGCCACGTGTCGATGTTTGTAAGTATTACGATGTTGATGAATATATGGTCACTAACATCTGTCAGACCAGCGCGTACGAGTACACTTCTCCCCAGCAAGTCTCGACCGGACAGCGATAAACACCGTCTACTCACATGTGCTGAACCCCATGGTCGCATCGCGGTCATACATGTGCATTGAACCAATAGAGCTACATCTCGATGTTGGGGCCCTCCGAAGAGGTCTCATCATGC